GTCCTAGAATCAATTTCTGTGAAGACACTATGACCTAAAAATGTCTAGAAAAAATTTAATTTAATTTTTGGTTCAATTCGGGTTTAAATTTTGCCCAATTTTGGGAAAAACATGTACCCGATTGAGATTTTATAAAATTGACAGTGTATTTATGAAATTGGATTTAAAATAAGATTATTGACTATTTTTATGTAATTTTCTGATTGCATTTACTATTTTTCTTGATTTTCTTGCTTATTTAAACTAAAAGAAATTCAGAAAAAATGCAGAAAAATGCTAAAAAAAATTATTTTTTGATTTAGAAATAGGTTTCTAGGCTTGGCCAAGATCACTAGACCTAATTTTGAAATTTTTTGAAAATATAATAAAAACGAGCTAAAAATTAGGTGTCAACACCCATTAAGCTAAACTGTTTTGCATTTCCCTAAAACTCTTTGGGAAAATTGAACCAAATCCAGTCTTAGTAGTGCTTTGTAGGGCTCTCTCTCTTGCGTGAGTCTGTTTTTTATTGTTGTAGTAGGATTCTACTATAGGAGATATAGGAGTGAAATTGTCAAGAGGAGATATTATGGGTCAAAGCCACCAATTTGAGTGAACAAAGAAAAATCAAGCTACTGACAAATTTCTCCTACTAACTGGTTTTGTGTATAGATCATTGTTACCTATGTTTCAATATGGTATCTTACCGCAGATGGGTTTGAGGACGAGGATTATAACGTTCGATTGTATACTTAGAAGCTGAGGTCCAACACCGTTTCTCCAATGTTTTTTTAATAGTGTCTTACCATGGATGGATTTACTGATCTGCTGCAAGTCTTGTCTCAATATGATTCTGAGTGCGATGCATTACCGTCAAACAGACTAGAGGTTCTACTTTGCATGATGGATGTTTGCATTAATCTATATTTAAACTAGCTATTGTCGACATCTAATTGTCATTGTTTTTACTTATGATTGAGACGAGAGTTGTTATTGCTTCTCAACATTGTTGATGTTACTAATAACTTGCTGTTGTATGAATTCGTTTTGCAGAATACCGAGGGCATTATGGGATGTGTGTCCATGGGGACAGCTACAAGGTCCGTCCTAAAAGCTCAGTGCGGGTCCAGTTTAAACAAATCACACCAGTGAATGGTTAACACGGCAGCACTTTGATCAAAATCGAGGTCTAGTTAGATCTAAATTTATTTGAACATTAACTACTAAGTTATGAATCAAGTAGATATTTCTAGCGAAAAATCACATCGATTATTCGGCACACCACTTCTCTCGATTAACATTGCCTTCATACGTGCACATACCTTCGTGCCGCGTGTGGCCGTATGTCCCTGTTAATCCGGTGCGACATGACCATCCACACCATCATGTTTCGCTGGGAATAAATTGCCTTACTATTGCACGAATACTACTCATTTGTCCCAACCTCCGTGCCCAATGGCACGCTAAACATAGTACCCGCAGTTGTATTGCACTGGCCACCACCATGCACAATGTCCTGCGTCAGACCGAATTGCAATGGCAGGTGCTCTGACACCATAGACAAGAGGATGTCATCAATGAGGGCATCAAATTCGAACTCGTTGACACGTATAATTGAATCCACCCTTCCTAAAATAACCCAAATTCGTTAAAATGATAAGCTTTACAAAGAAATGACTCTTTTTCAACTTACTCGTCTCGCATGAGGTTGAGATGCGCATGTGAATTATATTAAAAAAAATTAAATATCAATGGGTAACATATCATAATTGGTACATAATTCATTGACTTAAAATTTTGAGTGAAGATAGATACAACTGAATATGTTGACGGGATCGGACTTGAGATCCCTTGACAATCTCCAGGTGAAGGTATCGGGTTTTTATTGTGCATTCCCAACACATAGACCTCAACTTGTCCATTTCGCATAGTGTAAAGGTGACCCATCTCACATATTGTTGCCTGGAACAGTTAATATATAGGAGGATCCAGTTAGATATAGGGTTAATTCCAAAAAAAAAGCACAAACTTTAGGTCTAGAGACAATTCTAGCCCGACCTGTTTTTTGTCCTATAAAAAAGCACCAACTTTAGGTCAAGGGACAATTTTGGCCCGAACTTTTTTTGTCCCGTAAAAAAAGCACCAACTTTAGGTCGAGGGACAATTCTGGCCCAAACTTTTTTTTGTCTCGTAAAAAAGTACCAACTTTCACTTAAATCTCAAATCTGGCTCCCATTGACTTAGAACTATTGATTATCTAACTTGACTATTTCACATTAGCAATAAATCCACGTGGCTTTCTGACTGGAATTAAAGCAATATTTATTGTCTTATTCTTTAAGCCACAATTTGAAGAATAACAGTGAAACTATTCGTCTCCTTCACTTCACTGACAAGTCAAAAATATCTCAAGATTGAATCTCTTTGGCCAACGTAATCTGAAGCTGAGCACCGCCTGTCGACAGATACCATGGACGAGATTCGCCAAGCTCACCACCATAACCTTTTTTCTCAAACAATGGTAAAAGTCAACGGGGGGCCAGATTTGAGATCATGATGAAAGTTAGTGAATTTTAATGAGACAAAAAAAATTGGGGCTAGAATTGTCACTCGACCTAAAATTGGTGCTTTTTTAAGGGACAAAAAAAAGTTTGGACCAGAATTGTCCCTCGACCTAAAGTTGGTGCTTTTTTATGGGACAAAAAAATATTCGGGCTAGAATTGTCCCTCGACCTAAAATTGGTGTTTTTTTTAGAATTAAGCCATTAGATATATTAACAGGATCGGATTTGGACTTCTCTTAAATTGCTATATATGTTATCGTTCACAATAAAACACTTCAATGAAAAAGATTCAGAATAAATTACGATCACCCACCTCCGCCACTGACATCCATAACTTCTAGGTACTTTCTTTACATGGGGCGGCAGGTGCAAAGGTATGGCCTTAAATAGAGCCAAGAGGTGGGGACATTCTAGAGTTACGACAACACACCATCTGTCTCACGAATACCTGGTGTCCCTTGCTCCTCCATATGGTGAGACACCGCCGGACGGGACGAGTGTTGTGGCATGTTCACAAGTACATGTCCAAAACGCTAGGTTCCAAATTCCCCCTTGTCGACTCTAGACATGCGGCCTTGTTAGTAAAAGGATCAAAATGCGGAGACGCTAGTATCACAGGTACGGAGTTCGACTCCCGCGCTCTGCAAGAGGCGTAACAAAAATTAGAGAGTAGAGAATTAGAAATAGGACAGACAAAAAAAAAATTCTCCTTGTCTCATGCTTCATTTATGGGGTTTTATTAACGAGCGTAGTTAAAGCGGCGATTAAATAATTAATTAAGAAAACTTTGAAGTTTTCAATACAATGGTTGTCACTTTTTAACTTTAAAAAGTGAATTATTTTCCGTGGAGTATGTTTAACAAATGTCAGATCAAGAGGGCCCAGATACATATTCTTTTTGGTTGCATGGCAAAGACAATGGTTCTGTGTGAGACTCAAAAAGTTGTCGACATATTAAAGATGCCCATGTTCATTTGCAGCACTTCCCATGATCACTAGAGTGCTTTCAATAAAAAAAAGTTCCCCTCCGGCCCCCAATAATTGCCTATCATTGAAGAGACCATTGCTTGAATTCAGGGTATGCATAAACTGGACATGGACCATTAGAAATTGATACGTGTGTGGGCAAGTGATTCTGGAAATGGGGATTTCGGAATTATGTATATGGATGGTGTGTGTTTGCGGAATAGTTATCGAAGGGTAAAAGGAAACTGAATGATAAATTACGATCAACACCAAAGTATAAAGGACGCGCCGTCAACTGAGAATGAAGATCAGAATAGACGAAGTTCACCACTGAGGCTTAAAGGACAAGCCACCCGCCAAGGATAAAGGATTTCAGGATAGGAGAAGCTCACTACCAGGGCTTAAAGTGAAACCACCAGCCGAGGATAAAGTGCTTCTTGGCTCACCACCAAGGAGTAATCCACTCTCCAAGGATAAAGAAACCGATATAGGAGTTGTCCACTCTCTAAAGATATTCGTTCACACAAAGGAAAATCTCATATATTCATTCATCAAAGTCTGGTCTACCTTACAATGGAGGACTTTCCTCTATTTATAGGGGAATTATGACATAAGAAATAACCAAACATTAAAAGACATGAGAATTACCCAACCATTTAAGGACTTAGGAACTAGAAAGTAGTAAATACCTAGGAACTAAGGATGTTGACCCTTGAGACTCACAAAACAATTAAGACCTAAGAACTCAGCAAAGCATTGATGGCACATGGAGACTTGAAATCTTGAGCCTTGCGTTTTATCTCCCCAAATTCGTGCTCCTGCCTTGACCAGAGGATATTCACTTCAAGAGATCACCGAATGTCATAAGAAATTGCTTGGAACAACCTCCCATCAATATATTATGGATCCGTATCGAAATCAGCCACTAATCTTGTCAAGAAGATATTGGATTTCTGAACGGCAAGATAGACAAGTCGACAAGAGTCTTACCAATAAAATCGATAAGAGAAAAAGCCTCATCTTCGGCTTTGTTAGTTTATCGACAAGAGTCTTACCGATAAACAAGAGTATCATCGAAGAGGAATTGATAACCCCTTTAATTGATGGTCTCCTTATCGATGATCCATAGAAGCAAGTTACGACCGAATTCTACTTTAGGTTGAATGACCATTGATGGTGCTGGCTTTGTTGATGGAGTTAAGTTAGATGCTCCCGCATAAAAAATAACTAATCTCATTTCCGTTCGACTAGATGCAGCGATCCAGCTTTACTTTATTACGTGAACTAGGTTTACTGAATAATTTCTCTTATCTTTGAAAGGGAGCGATACCACATGCGTGCGACCCAATGAATTCGGTGGATTTTAGCATGTACGGGGTTGATGCATTACTATCGTGTTAAACGGATACTAAATTATCAAGAGTGGATGGTTAATTACAACAAAAGTATAGTGCTTAGAGTCTTTATTAATCTCAATTTGAGGGGGGGGTGTTGGGTGTAAATCTAGTCGTGGAGGACTAGTAATGTCTCATTAATCTGGACGTTGATTTCTTGCGACTTAGCATCTGTTGAACGTAGTGGATTACTAGAGTCAGGTTGAAGTAGGATGACCCGCCTTCCGCGACCGCCTGGCTCGCGGCCTTGCCCAACTCCTTCACCCGCAGCCTCCTCTCGGTGCCTTCCTCTCCTTCGTCCATCAGCCTCCCGATCGCGTGCTGCACGGCCTCCCTGCTAACCATCACGCCCACCTTATCCTCCTCCACCCACTCCACCGGCCTCTGAACCCCAAGGCTCACTCCGATCTGGAGCACCTGCGCGATCTGCTTCTCATTGTAGAACTGCTCCGCAAACATGGGCCAGGTTATCATTGGCACTCCGGAGCTCACCGCCTCGAGCGTCGAGTTCCACCCACAGTGCGTCATGAACCCGCCGACAGATGGGTGGGACAGGATCATCACTTGAGGGGCCCATCCCCTGATGATGAGGCCCCTCCCCGTGGTCCTCTCTTCGAACCCGTACTCCGAGAGCCACTTCTCTAGCTCTTGTGAGTGGTCGCCTTTCCTTATCACCCACATGAAGCAACAGTGCGATGCCTCAAGCCCCAAGGCCAGCTCCACGAGCTGCAAGGCCGACACGTGGCAAAGACTACCAAAGCACACGTAAAGCACAGATTTCGGGTCCCTAGAGTCCAGCCAATCTAGGCACTGGTTCGGGTCGATCGAGGACTTGTTGCCCCTGTCGAGCTTGGCCGAGTCGACCCCTGGGGAGAGTGACAGAGGCCCAACGCACCACAGTTTCTTCGCTACCTTTTGATAACCTTTCACGTAACTCTTCTCTAGCTCCTCGAAGGAGTTCACCATCACGCCGTCGGCTGAGAGCTCGGCCGCCTTGAACTTGTCCAGGAGTTCCTCCAAGTCTTCTGGGCCGTCCTTCATCATTTGCGGAAGCTGGGCCTTGGTGAACTCGACCTTGTCTGGGAGGCCCGGGACGACGAACCGCTCATCGTCGCTCTTGACCCGTTCCATGACCTTGGAGCGGTTGATGCTGTGAGAGCACAAGAGGGTGAAGCAAGAAATGGTATGGAACACGATCCTCGGAAGGCCAAACTTTTGTGCAACATCAGTAGTCCAAGGAAAGCAAATGTCAGTGATGATGCAACTGGGTTTGTCCTCCATGGCTTCGAGGCGCTTCTCGAGGGGCCCTTGCAGCATGTTGCTTGCATCGAAGAAGGCGGTGATGAGGTCCGATGAGGGGAGCGAGTCGGCGTTCTCGCAGCCCTCGGGGAGGCCGGCCTCTTTGCATGGGAAAGGAAGAGTCAGGAAGTGGATGTCGAGATCTGATGTTCGGGCGTGGTCCAAGACAGATTCGTAGCGGAGGGCGTTGAGAGGAGTCATGACGACAGTGACGGAAACTCCACGCTCGGCGAGGTGCTTGGCCATGTCCGTGAATGGGAGGAGGTGGCTTTGGGACATGAGAGGGATGAGAAGGAAGTGAAGCTCTTGAGCTTCGGAGCCCATTTCTTCTTGTTTTTGTTTTGTTTCCTTCCTTTCTCTTTGGGAGGGAGGATGAAAAAGAGTTGATGGAGGGCTAAATGGCGGTGGTGATAAGGTTTGAGTGAAGGTGACAAGAAACGGTGGTTGGGGTTCCCCAAAATATAGAGAGCAGCTTTGGCTATAGAGCTTCTAGAAGAAAAATTGTGATGTGGTCATTTGTTGGGTGAGAACAGCTTACTTACGTGACTGCTCTTAATTCGCTGTGAGATCAACAATCTGATCTAAGAAAAAAATAAACACAAAATAAATGGAAATTATTGTGGGGTCAAGAATTTGTGACTCACCACTTGCTATTTTTTTTTTTTTTTTGGTAAAGGTAAGTGTAATCACCACTTGCTATTACTCTCACAATAGGTCAAAAATTGTTATGCTAGTAAAATTTTTTGTGGTTTTGCATATGCCCTACCTAGAAGGAGCTGGGGAGTTGCTTCACTATGAAAGAATGAATAATAGATTGAAGGGGTTGCGCAAATTCCTAATAACACTTTCCTTATTGGAACTTCGCCTTTTGATTCGGATGCAGTAGCTGTCGTATTTAAATAGTAACGTCTTTCAATCAAAGAATTTCAGAGGTTACAATCTCACCTTCATGAGTGAGGTTTAACTAGATGCATGTGTACAGAATAAATACAGTGGTGTCAAAATATGGATACTAAATGGGTACGGACGTAGAGTCTCGAATTCGACCGGTGAATGCTAAATGGGTCATTTATCTCGAAACCATTAGGAAATCAAGCCCTTTTCTCGAATACTCCTTTTCTTTCCGGAAAATGGGGTCTCGAATTCTCCTTTCTTTGAGATAGATCCTACAACCATTTGTGATTGGAAAATGACTTGAGTGACTGTGCATGCCTTTGACATGTGAGGTAACCCTGCTCATTAAGTCAACACTTTGCAAGGTCGTCTCATCATACTAAAGCGCACTATATATTCGTAAAAATTTGCTTGTATACTTGAATTTGAGCCCGTTGAACAAAACCCAATTCAAAATTGTGCTCGTGTTCAAAAGCAAACATCCGATACCTTCAAAATATACGCCCCCAAAATGTTCATACTAGGTACAAGACATGGATCAAACGCCCAGCTAGGGGGGCCGGACGCCCATCTAATGAATTAAAAAGCAACACTGCATGAGAATACATAGCGAGCTTAATTGGGCGCCAAGATATATGAGGACTTGAGTGTGATTAAAATCTTCATCATACAACTTGATCTTATCGTAAAATTTCCTGCTATTGTACCTGTGAAATCGGTCTCATAAGTTGAGTCACTTCAATCTAGCGTTCGATTTTCTTCATCCTTCGGTATTCCGTCTTTTACGTAATAGGTCTATCTTGTAACAGGGGAAGTTCCATCCGTGTGCTAAAAAGGTTCTAGTATTATGGAGGATATGATCTTTGTCCGGATTAAGGACGAGTGGAGATTATCTAAGATATTCAAGTGAATTCTGAATTTGCCATGTACGTGCAGTGATGTGAAATCTTTAGGTCCGTGTGAACTGGGAATTGGACTTGGTTTCTTCAATAAAGTTTTCATTTCCGTGTAATCACTTCAATCAAGCTGACAAAAATACTACTTTACTTGACACATCCGGCCTTACTTTTTGTCATTTTGTGTTATGTCTTGAGCTCCCGAGCTTGTCCATGCAGAAAATAACGAATAGATATTGATTATACAGATTGCGCAATCAAAATTGTACAGAAAATTATCGTTGATATGGGTAGTTTTACCTTTTGCGAATAATTGACTACTTATTTCGATGATGAGGATATAAAACTTATAAACAAAAGCTACGCAGTTTCATAAATTTAAAAGTTTATCCAAAGACAGATCTAGAGATGAGAATAGTGATCTAGAAAGATCATAAGTAGTTCATTAAGGGTATGGATTCCATTTATTTCAGCATCTAATTAATCGTATTAGATAATTTGCTAAATAGATAAAATAGTACGTTTAAATATCCTTCTATTTACCCCAAAAAGTTTGTGTTCCCTAGCATTGATCGTTTAAAAAGATCCATCTTGAATTGAACAAGGGAAGCCATGCTTTTTTCGTGCTGCTCCCTTTTGTATTTGTGTTGAACATCATTTATATGCAGTAGGTTTAGAGTTAATTGGGTAATTTTCTAGATTCCAAAGTAAATCATATGGATTTGAGAGGTTTCGGTTATTTTTCCTGTCTAGCTCAAGATATTTGTTAGGTTATGTGAATTTGCAACCATGGTCGATAAATTCGCTTGTTAATAAGATTAGCATTATATGATCGTCTAAAATGATTTGGTTATTTGAACTCATAAATGTCTACCTCGCTCAGAGATAACTAAAATTTCGTTAACCGGATAAAACGATACAAGATCATTTAGGAGAAAGTATTGTATAAGCTCATTTTGTTAATAATGTAATTGACATTGTTCAAAATAAAACAAAATTTTTTGTTTTTTGCTTTTGTTGTTTTAGGATGAAATTCATCATCACTCGATTGGCTTGATTTGTGAATTCTCATATGGTACGCAATCTACACACTTCTTCTATTTTTATATACACAACTCACCTTCATTATCACTAATTGGGCAATTATAATTTGGATATTCTAATCAATGATTACAGACGTGGGTTATGTAAAAAAAAGTAAAGGAAAATTACTGCCTTCCTAAATTTCTTTTCAAATTTATGAGACTTTAGTCTACTGAGATTTCCTCTCTTTGTTATCATTAGGAGAATTCTTTCTAGATGGTAATCATTGGAGACACGACCAAGACGTGGAAAGGCCAGCCGTTGGACACGCGACCAGTAGTTGACTTGTAAGTCCCACGCGATAGAGATGTTTGATTGTTAGCTTTCCATCAAACATCAAAGAGAGGTAACTTAGTATTTCCTACTAGACACAAAAATCCAACATGTCTGTCTTTGTCTTTTCCGGCCAGTCGCTTTGATTGTTGTGCTTGGGTTCTAGAAGGCGCAGATACCCAAGTGGTTTTTGTTTTGCATCTTATCATTAAGTTAATCAATTTCAATATAAGAAAAAAAAGCCACCAAAAACCCTATATTTTATTCATTGTGACTTTTTTATTCGTAAATTTCTTTTGTGATATCAAAAATTTCAAATTTGTACATGTGGGACACATTTATCTTCCGTCAAGACTTCGCCAATGGGCACCATTAAAAATCTGCATATATAGACGACGGGAGGCAAACAGCGTTGACATATGGCGACCGCATGACTCAAGCGAAATAAAAAATCATCTGATGAAATCTTGTCGGAGGGTAAATATGTTACACGGATACAATTTTTGGATTTTTGATGTCATAAGAAATGGTTGAGGGTAAATGTGCCATAACCGGTATAATTTGTGATTTTTTATGTCACAACAAAAAAATCGGAGTAAATGTGCCACGGTAGACATAAATTGGAGATTTTGGTGGCTTTTGCCTCTAAATGTACTCGAGAAAAAATGTTCAATTTTGAAATATTAATTACACTATTTTTTGTAATGTGAATAGTGAATGGACGGAAAATTACAATACTGTAATTATTTTGTACGTCATTATTTAGTAAGTTCTTTTTTGTTATTTTGTTAGTTAACGCTCTTGTGAAAGCATATGACATTTGCGCCGGAAAAACAGCATGTGACTAGTATTAAATGCCAAAGTACTGTTCAGACGGCTTTCACACTTCAAGAATGCTTGCTTCATCGTGACGCTGGGGATACGCAAATTCAGCGAGAGAACAAAGTGGAGCCCTCCGGCTCCGGCTGATTTTTCGTGTATGTAATCATTTTGGAGAAGGTTTTTTCTTATTTTTTTTAATTTAGAGGAAACGGCGTGGAGACCCGATTATTTAGAGATCTATAAAAAACTCTGCAAGTGCCCATAAGGTGTGGGCCTGACCCGAAATATCGTTTATCGTATTTGAATGAGTGACATCCAATTCCTGAACTAGAAATTTTTCTGTTAAATTATATCTCGAGTTTGATTCCGTCGAATAAAACTCGGCCCGGATAAAGTGAATTACATGAAGTCCTTATTCGTGAAAATTGGAAAGAAAAAGAAAGAGTGCCGCAATTTCCTTTAGTTATTGAGTCGGCCAGGGTTAATAAAAAATAGGAAAGTTGACCATGAACTTTTCTTTAACTTTCTTTTTCGTGTCGGAGTCTGTTCGAAGAAGGGTTTTCTTTCTTTTATATATACGGGCTGTTATGTTTTGCCGACAAAAGAGAGGTGCGCCGTTGTTGATGAATAGAGCAGCGTGCATCAGCCTCTCCTCTGTGGAAGGCAATAATAGATACCAGAAAAATACTTAATCTGGGAACTCTATATCAAATAGGGGGTGGAAAATCGATCGAGATCGGAAATCACCCCTGAATTCCTAATGTCTCAACTCATATGCCTTCTTTTATTGATCCAGACCCTGCTTTGAAGCACAGAAAGATAGAAAGCTTCTTTATCCCAGGGACAAAAACTTGGGATGTATTAAGTCTAAATCAGACATTTTGCCCAACCTCAGTACAAGCCATCCTTCATATCCATGTGCCAAACTCCATTGGGGTAGACAAACTGATTTGGCATCCAGCTATCGATGGAGCATTTTCTGTTAAATCTACTTACAAACTCATAAAGTTGCAAAATGAAAATGATAATAATAGTGGGATTTGGAACAAAATCTGGAAAGCTAGAGCTCATGAGCGACACAAAATGATGTTGTGGAGAATAGTATCTAACGTTTTACCTTGTCGAGCTAACTTGTTTCAATTGATCCATATCTCAGACCCCTCTTGCCCGTTGTGTGGAGCTTCGGAGGAAAATTCAGTACACTTGTTCACAAGATGTCCTCTAGCCCAAATTTCGTGGAGACAGAGCCCATGGGGTATTATCTCGTCTGCTTGGAACTTCAGGTCTTCGGAAGAGATGGTGAATCACTTTCTTGATCCAGGAAAAATAGCACAGACAACGGGAGTGGATTGCAAGCTCTTCACCCTTTATGCAGCAATTCTTTGCACTATAATGTGGCGTTACAGGAATGCAAAGCTACATGATCAGACTATTCCAGTGCCTTCCCACGCAATTCAGATGATCATAAAAGATTTCTT